GGTCACACCTGGAGTTCCGGTTCCCACCATAGCATAGCCTGGCCGGCGGAAGATACTTGCCATGTGACAAGTGTGCAGCTGATTGTGCAAAAGTGAGCTCAAAGAAATCTTCCACGCTCAAAACAAGATTGCGGGCACCTGCTATTTCACATCTGCCCTGGGTCACCTGAAGCCAGCTTCTAGCTTCTTAGTTACGTGCTCATCTACAGGACACGGAACATGGCTCCGTGTGGAGGAGCAGCAGAGCTGGGGAGTCTCAGGAGAGTCTCTGAAGACTTTGTTTGGTCCCACTCCCCTCATGGGCTGAAGGGGGGGCACAGCTGAGGAAAAGAGGCAGAAGTCTGTACTCGTCGGAGAAGATGAAGGAGGTGCCAAGGCTCAGGACGAGACACAGTGGTGGAACAGGGACTGGAGGTCAGTGCGCACTGAGCTGCTATTGGAGTCTATCTTCCTTGCAACCCTGAAGATTTTCCTCACAGAAAGGAAGGGGTGGTAGACCAAGGAGTACTGTGTAGGCATTTCCGGAACCAGATCAGAGTCAGCGAAAACCTACCATTTCCCATTTATCCCCTTGGGACAGAACTGCTGACTGTGCTTCAGCGACCCAGTTCTTGAACCACGTTTCCTTCCTAACCCACCTTCCATAAGCAACATTCAGTTCCAACAAATACCCACTGGGCATCCACTCCGTGCTAGAACCCACCTCAGAACTGAAGATGCATCCGGGAAGAACAGAGAAGTATCTTCACCCACAAAAGGTCACATTCAAACTCACTGAAACATAAGCAGCAACAAGGCAGGTGTGGTAGAACACACTACTTTCGCGTTAGAAAGTAAGTGCAATTGGGTGAGAAAATACAAGGTGAGCTGTGACAGGAGGTTGGGCTAGGTAGGCTCCATCAGGCATTCGGCTAAAGGCCTGGGGAGGACAAAGGAATGAGCCATGGGACTGTCCCAGGAAAGGGGTTCCTGGCAGAGGAACAGCCCAGGCAAAGACGATCAGGGGACAGTGCGCACACTGCTGTGGCTAAGATGGTGTGGCTGTGCAGTGAACAGTAAGGCTGCTGGTGAGTGAGGGACAGTGTGAAGGGAGGTTCCAGAGGAACAGGCAGGGAACAGTAGGAAGTGGATTTGCTTGGAGACGGGAAGCCACTCCACAGCGCTAAACAGAGAGGTGAGATGCTGTTTTAAGTCTACTCTGCATTACTGCAACACAATGCCTGGTGCTGGGTAATTTATAAAGGAAAGACTATTTGGCTCCTGGTTCTAGAGGCTGGGAGGTCCAAGAGCACAGTGCCAGCATCTTGCAAGGATCATTGCATTTTGTCACCTCATAGTGGACGCTGAAAGAGCAAGAGAAGGCGGGTGACCAAGAAGAGGGGGCCACACTCTGTAACATCATGCTCCAGAGATAACTAACCCACTCCTGCAATCCTGTGAGTACATTCATGAGTTGAGAGCTTGGCTATCTTCTTCCCTTTAAAGCCCCCAGCACTGTTGCCTTGGAGATGAGGTTTCCAATACTTGAACCTCGAGGGACACAGTCAACCAGAGCAGATGCTCCAACTGACCTCTTCAAAGGACTGTCCCGGATGCTGGTAGTCCTACAACAAAGGGATGCAAGGTCGGGGACAAATCCCAGCGGAGGCTCTGCAAGTGTGAGGTCGGCCCTGAGGGGCTGGCAAGGGGGCAGCAGCGTAGGGGGATAGCGTGGGTATTTCTTGAAGGTAGACACTGTGGTCCCTCCCCTCGGGGACCAGTTGAAAGAGATGGGACCTGGGCAGCTCCAAATCTTCCCACTCAAGCCCCAAGAAGGGTAGAGCGGTCACAAGCCAAGGCTGGGAATACGGCCAGCAGAGCAGACAGAAGGCAGAAGTTCAGTTCAGATTTGCTGCTTATGAGGAACACAAGTGAGAGTGAGGTCAAGGCTGGAGACAAACGAGGTGTCTTCAACATGACCCAGGACAATGAGGAGGGCAGAGCTGAGCCTGGACACTGCAGCCCTGGGTAGGACTGAGCCTGGATGCTCCAGCCCTGGGCAGAGCGAGCCTGGACGACACTCCAGCCCTGAACATTGCTGAGATGGGTCCAGAAAAAAGATGGAAAAGGTATAACTAGAAAAGATGGAAATCAAGAGCAGGGGTGGCCTGGAAGTACAGAGAACTCAGCCAGGAAGCCATCAAGGTAGGACGACGCAGACAGGCTGAGGACTTCCCACAGCCCAGCAGCAGAGTGTCCTCTGTGACCACAAGACTGCCTGGTGGAATGGGGAATGTGGAAGACTGGTCAGAAGGGACTACAGAAAGGACGGCAGGAGGAGACGGGGTGCGAACCCTCGGTGTGAACCCTCGGGTGGGTCTCACCACAAAGGGACCAGCAAAGGACCACACTGGAGGGAGGGTGGGGACGGGAAGGGGCCATGCCTTGTTTTGTTGGTTTGATGGCAGGGAAAGCAGCAGGCCTGCACTCAAGGATGACCCCGCAGAGTTCATGGTCAGTGGAGCATACTGAAGACCAGTGATGAGTCACATCCTTGAGCAGGTGGGAGGGACTGCATGTAGTGTCAGGAAAGTCAGTCCTAGAAGTGTGGTCTGAGCACCAGTGCTGTGAGTCCTACAGACCCTGGAGCACCAGGAGGTGCTGATGGCCCGGCAAGCCCAGGACAGTGTTGTATTCCCCCACGACCCACACACACACCCCCGCCTTCTGCCCAGTGGCTTGGGATCACATTCTCATTCTGCGGAGCCTCCACTGCCTCAGCTTCTTCATCTGTAAACTACGGACAGTGACAGCGGCCTCCACACGGAGCTGCTGGGGCATTTTGATAAAGCAGCACATGGAAAACCATCTCTGGGTGCTTGCTATCAAAACTGGCCCTCGGGATGCCAGGGAGCAAAGCCAGGTCAGCCAACCTTGGACACCACTTGGCAAGTGTAGCCTCCTGTCCCCCAAATCATGCTTCAACAAAGCATGAATTTTCTCTCAGGTCACCGAACAAAAACTGAGCCAGCACCTGCATTCCATGGCATACCAGCTGTGTGATCTTGGGCCAGCTTCTGGGTCTCTCTGAGCTCCAAAAGAGAGGATGCAGGACTGAAGGATCGCTAAGGTTCTTCAAGTTCTAGGTTATTAAATAATGCCTCCTTAGTCATTGTAAAGAATACTGAGTAAAAATTAATATCTTCAGGGAATCTCTGAAGAGCATGTGGAGGCTGTGGGTGAAGCCCACGGCTGCCCTGAGGTGTCTCCACAGCCGAGAACTGCAGGCCCCTGCTGAACCATCCGCAAGGAGGCTGCCAACATGACAGGCCTCCGCTACAGATGAGGTGAACAGCTAAACACAGCCCCGGGCCTCCTGTTAGTAAAGCCCTCCGCCCTCAAAGCGCACACACGTCACCTTTCACAGCAGAGGCAGCCCCAACTGAGGACCAAAGGGAGGGTGGGGGCGTGCTTCCAAACACTGAATTTCAGGAAATGAGTCCAGCCCCTGACTTTTCCACCTGAGAAGCAGCTCTTATGAACCTGACCTGCTGTGCTCACAGATAATGAGGAAACATTATCTGCAAAGCCGGGGCTCCACCCAGACAGGAAGGCAAAAGAGCCCACAAACTCCTCCCGCCCCAGTGTTCTGACCACTGTGCCACAGGTAACCTTTCCTGAGTTCAGATGAATGCTTACGCCAACATTCCTAAGTCGGGTGGCCCTGTGAGGCCCTTGCTTCAAGCACTTAGTAAAGTCTTGTAAGAATTGTGCGGGGTAGGGTGGTCATGCAACCATTCCTGTGATATGGAGCAAGATTTCATGTCAGGTGACAGTGGTTGAATGGCCACAAGCCCCTTACAAAGAAGTGTCCTGTTTACACGCAGCCCCACAAGCCTCCGCGTGGGGGACTGCAGGGAAAGAGTGAAATTCTCAGCCACAGTGCTCAACAGGTCTCTGACCATGTGGTAAATCCAGCGTGACGAGCCACGGTTGACAGGGATCACAGATATGGGGAGAGCCTCTGGACAAGGTCCACTTCCAAGGTTTGTGTCCCAGGAACTTACACCCAGCTCAGGTCGGGAATCCTCCTGGCTACCTCCACAGAGCATGCCTGTGCCTGGCTGCCCTTGAGTTAGGACTGCAGATCTGAAGTGCACCAGGGCTGTGGCTGGTCCTCAGTCCTCATCCATTCAAGACTGAGGATATCTGAGCAAGGAGACCAGGTGTCCCAGGAGGCGCAGAGAACATATCCTTCTGTGTGCTCCGTCTGTTCAGCAGGTCAGACTCAGCAGTGCCATCTCAGGATGATTCCTATCGTCAAACAACCTGATGGATCTATAATGGGGTCAGCTAGAGTGGGTACAGGCACACATGTGTCCTGGGATTGGGTTGAGATGCAGTGGGTACCACCTGGATAACACAGACCTGACTCTGACATCCCAATGAGGGGAAGGGCTGGGGCAAGAGGGTTCATTCGAGTCATAGCACTAAAAAGTACAAGGGTTCGGAGATGATGGAGGGGAGTCAGGAAGGGGACTGGAGGATGTTAGCTTCAAGACCACCCTGTAAGCTTCAGTCACCATCTTCCCCTCCCAAGGGATGGGGGAGCCAGTCGGGGGTTGTCAACTGGATCCTGAAATCATTCAATCTTCATTCTGCTCCATCGGATAGCTGTGAGCCTTGGAACAAGTCAGTAGCTGCTGGTTTCTCATCTGTAAAATGGGAATTAATGGTATTTATCACTTCCTGTGCATACTGAAATGAACAGATGAAGGCAGGTATCCAACACTGAGCATGTAGGGCAGGACCCCGAGACATGGATATGTTATTGTTCCGGTGACAGGTGGGAAGGAATCAGGCTGTATTTGCAGGTACTTCCCTTCAGGTAGATGCGGGGCACTGAGAACAGCAGCTTCTTCATCCTGCCTCTCTACCCTCACGGTTCCCAGCAAGGCCATCCCACATCTTCCAAAACTGTCACCAAGGGTTATCATGTCCCATGTACCACCAGGTCCCCCTCAGACTGCTGCACAGTCTTCTTCCCGGGAGCTCTCTAGCGCCTGCCAGTAGGTGAGTAGGTTGCTGGGCGTGACGTGGTGGCAGGCCACAATTTTCTGAAAACGACACACGGAGAACCGTAAGCCACCTGGGAAGAAGGTCTGCTTGGAGTGAAGCTCCTCCGGCCTGATCTTCAGCTTGGCCAGACAGAGTCCCACAAACACATCCTCTAGCTTGAGGAATGGGACGCTTTCTGAGACGTTGTACACTTGTCTCGCCACATCACTGGAAAAGACGTAGCCAGTGCCTGAGCAGAAAGGTGGGTACTTGTCCCATGGATATTCAAACTTACTTACAAACCACTTGTTGAACTTTGACCGGATGGGAAAGTCATTGAGCTTTAAGTAGCCTGTGAAGAATCTGGTTGTTTTGTTTTTCCTTAGCAGCAGCTCCGTCAGATAGCCAACATTGACAAACATGTCGGAGTCAGTTTTCATGACAAAAGTCGCCTGAGGACAAAAGTGGTGGACCCACTCCATGCCCATCATGGTCTTCAGGGTCAAGTTGTAGTAGACGTCCTTGAAGTCCTTCTGGATGATGTCTCGGTGCTCCTGGCTCTCCTGGGCCGTGGCGGCCATCTCATCCGTGCTGTCTGAGGCGCCCAGGAGGAAGAGGGTCCTCACCTGCTGCCCTCGCACCGTCCTGTCTCTACCCCACGTCTTGCGAATGGCCGTGCGAGCTGCCATCTGTTTGTGGGAGGAAGTCACCAGCAGGACGAGGAAGGGTGGGTTCTGCCTGCAGTCTACATCAGGAAGCTGAAGGAACTTCCCAGCACTTCTCTTGAAAACGAATGGCAGTTCTTTATAAAGGGCAATGTAGAGGTACAAGCAGAGCGCCCCCACCACCAGAACGAAAGCATACAGCAGCCTCATCTTGCTGAAGGCCATCTGGAAGAGCAGAGAGAAATGGTCAGGTCTCCAAAGGGAGAGGGTGGGACAAGGGGACCCCAAGTCCAGTGAGAGCAAGAGTACGTTCAGTGCTCTACAGCCCAGAACCATGACTGGTTTTTATACTATAGCCGCAAACAAACAGAAGAGGGGCTTGAACACTTCCAAAACAAAGAAACAATGGATGTATATCACAAGGGATGTAAATCACTCCAGTGTGAATATTACACATTGTATTCATGTAATGAATTATCATGCTGAACCCCATAAATATGTACAGTTAAAAAGTTTGCCAGGTGTGGTAGTGCACGCCTTTACTCCCAACACTCAGGAAGCAGAGGCAGGCAGATCCCTGTGAGTTAAAGGCCAGCCTGGTTTACATAATGAGTTCCAGGTCAGCTGGGGCTACAGGGAGTCCCTGTCTCAAAAAGACAATAGTAATAACAATAATAATAATAATAATAATAATAATAATAACTTTTGAGGACTGGAGAGCTGGCCCAGTGGTTAAGAGCACTTACTATTCTTGCAGAGGACCTAGGTTTGGTTACCAGCACCTACATGGTGACTCATAACCATCTGGAATTCCAGTTCCAGGGATCTAAGGCTCTCTTCTGGCTTCCTCCAGCACCAGGCACACATGTGCACATATATACAAGCAAGCAAAACACTCATACACATAAAATAAATAATAAAATCTTTTTAAAACAATGAACATTTTAGAAACATGAGTTCATATGGTGTGTGTGAGACAGATGAAAAGATCCATAGTTTAGAAAATTCTGGAATCTTGCTGAACAGAAACAGAGTGTCATGGCTGAGCAGTGAATCACACAGGGGATTGGGGGTTGGGGCTGCCATGCTGGCTATTGGCATCAAACAGAGATCCCAAGGATTCAGGACATTGGTCCCCAGCTCTTCTGGGTCAGCCAGTCCCTCACTGATGGAAGTCTCTGCCTTCTTATCCATCATTCAATGGGACCAGATTGCTCCTCAGGTCCTCCGGCTCTGGCCTCTGGTCACTCTGATTCAGCTAGACAGCACACAAGTGTTGACGCCACGTATTATGAGTCTAAACACAGGCCTGTCTGCAGGCTTCTCTGAGCTACTTAAGTACCCTCAAAAGGTAGCTCTCATGGTTTGAATGTGAAATATCCCCAGGGGCTCCTGTGTCTGTAGGCTGACTTCCCAGCTGGTGGTGCTGTTTGGGAGGTTCTAGAACCTTTATGAGATGGCGCTACCTGCAGGGAATGCACTGCTGGGGGCAGGCTTTGAGGTTTTTAGCTAGGCCCCACTTCCTGTCCTGTCTCTGCTTCCTGATCCCTGAGGTGTGAGCCAGTTACTCCTGCCACCACAGCTACAAGCTGCTCCCTGTGCCGCACCTTCCCATCATGATGGACTGGACCGTACATTCAAATCGTGAGCCAAAGGAACCCTTCCTCTCCTACTGAAGTGACTTCCTGTCAGGTATTGGTCACAGCAATCAGAAAAGTAAGGGCCATGGAAGCACACCCAGTGTTCTGATTGCATAACCACCTTGAAATTCTTGAGGCCATGGTAAACTTTTTTAAGGTTATCCATTAGGCTAAGCTCTTCAGTCTGGTTTGCTTTTATTGTCTGTCCACCTTCTCTTTTTTCTCAGCAAGTTGAGGGTTGTCTGTGTTAATATCAAAACACTAAGAAAGCAAATATCTCAACGTTTTTCTGGGTAAGAAAAGCTCCACTTGAGAGCTTACCTCGGAGTAGAAGAGAGGAGAAATTCCTTTTGAAGTGTGCGTGATGGCCGATCTGCACTAGCTCCTAAGACAACTTTCTGGATTGGTTTGTCTACCAAAATAGTGGCTCTGCCTCTCAGAGATCACTAGAAGAAAAAGAGCAAGTTCAAGTTGCTTGTGCATTCCTGGTGGGTCCTCACGTTGCCCTCTCCCTGTGTGAACTCAAGGACACACTTGAGCTGCAGTTCCAAGCTCATTTTTCTCACCTATGAAATGAATACAGTCTAGGCCCAAAGTCTGAATGTTCTTTGTGTGGAACTGATGGGGTCCTTGAACCTCAGATTTTATTTCTAACAGAACATTTTTCCTTTCTAAAATAGAATTGCCAAGAAACAGTCTCCAAAGTTATATATCAGTTTTTTCACATACAAAGCCGGTGTCTGCACCCTGAGTTGAAAAGACCAGGAACCCACCTTCCAGACAGTGGAGTTGAAGAGAAACTAGAACCATCAGGAGACACAGGTTAGGACAGCATGTTCTGGGAAAGGGCGCTGTGTACCCCCAGACTGCAGTCCCCAGCGGCTGGCAGGTAGGAATCCTTAGCTCAATACAATCCCACTTACCTGAAATGGAGCTGTCAATGGGTAGAACCAGGGTCACAGGAACCTCACCTCCAGGCCCTGTGGCATAGCGAGCCAGTCAGAAGCAGAGAGCAGGCTCCAGCAGACTGTGAGGTCCCGTCTTTCCTCTGTAACCTCAGGGCAATACAGACCCAGTCATGGAGCTTCTGAGCTGGAATAGAAACGCACTGCAGGGACTTAGAGAACACAGGCTCTCCCCTCTACCTCTTCCTCTGCCTCCTGTCCCTCACAGGCTCCAGAGTACAGCTGCCAGGATCCCTGGGCCTCTTCTGGTGGTGAGAACCTGGAGTGCGACCCACAGTCACCTACTCCAGAGTCACTGTCAAGGATCTTAGAAGACTATCAGCTTTGAATCAAGCCAAGAACATAGAACAGGGAACACCAGAAAATCCCACTGCCTGAACAGCTCTGAGGTTTGGCACAAGGAAGGGCCTTTATCAAATGGACAGAATATGGAAATTTTTATAATGCAAACAAGCTCACTGAGTAATGTGTTCTTGTGATCTGGGCACCTGACCTTGATTGGAACCTCAGTTTACTCTCTACTCAAGATAACTGTGTATTGTGTGTATGAAATATTTTCTTATGTATATGAGATATCTTAGGTCTAGAGATCAATGGCCAAGATTGTCTGGTAAGGGTGGATCCAAACTTGTAGTTTCCCAACTGATGTTGGAAAAACAGTTTTGAATAAAAGTATGGTTGAGGCCAGGCTCAGGAGCAGAGTTCCAGGAGACATCTGGAGGAACGGGTAACCTGTGAGTTTGGGCCCACTGGGAAGACTAAAGTCAAGAGTCAGGCTGTTTGTTCAGGTATAACTGTAATGTTGGCAGAGTTCAGGTACAGTTCCCAAATCAGGGGGTATCAGGAAACCTGATACCTGGCTTCCACAGGTGTGCGTGGGTGGGTGTATATACATTAAATGCACACACAATGAAAAAACGTTTTTAAATACCCATAACTTTTTAAAACATAAGTTGTAAATAAATATCTCCCGAAAAAGGAAATATCTAAAAAGCCAAACGCCCATGTTAGTCATGAGGGAAATTTGAACAAAGCCATGATGAAACACCAGCACTGCCAATAATTCAGAGACTCAGATGCAATCGTAGGTAGGTAACTAAGACACACTGGAAAGCCCCATTTGATTTGGCAGTGTCCATCCCAGGGGAACACACATGCTGTGGTTCTGCAAAGCTCTCCCAGTCACATACAGGCAGAAATGACAGCTTATGGCCCAAGAGACACGCCCCGAATATTCACAGTAGTGGGGCTGGTAGTGGGGCTCATAGTTGCCAAAAATGCCTCTAGGGGTCTGAATCCAAACAGGACAGAGACACCACTGGGCCATATGCAAATGGAAAGTTTAACGCAACAATGTGAACAGTGAGGAATTAACAGTAGGAAGAGGACCTCTAAGGGACTACAGAGGAGCCACTGTCCTACCCTAGGCTGAGATGCACAG